AAATAAACATTTACCTATTTACATTTCTGTTTCTTTTTTGACTATCCAATGGTATCGGGAATTAAGAAAGAAAAAAGAAGCAATATGCAATTCCTGAAAAACAAGTGAGATTTTCATCTTCATTTCAAAATCTATGATTCCTTTATTTTTAAAGTGTCTTTTTAAATACTACTTCAAAGATGCGTGAGGTTCTGTAGATTTCAAGGGACTTCAGAGTGAGAATTTTGTATAAACTCACAATTTTAGTCACTACTCTTAATAAGTACTGTATTCAGTAAAAACTGCCAAACCTGTCCAATTTACAAACTACCATGTCACCTCTTATTTCTAATAACCCACAGTACATTTATCACAATTAAAAGTATACTTGTTCTGCCTTTTAGTCTCTTAATTTCTTTGAAGTGCATCACATCAATGAAATTCATCTGTTATAAAATGCAGAAAGACAGGTTTTAGAGTTCACATAGTGTGATCATCTCTATCTTAAATCTTGGACGAAGTTTCTCTTTATCTTCTTTGTTTGTTCATAGTTTAAAGTTGTTTACCAAACATTACGACATTACACTGAATTACACAGTATCTCCCTTGATGAATCAATACCCTGAGAGAATTCATTGCTACAACTTGCCTGTGGTTGGATCTGGATCATCAATATTTCACAGACATGGGGCAATGAAATTCTCTCTTTCTCTCCCTGTCTGACATACCACTGCCATGAGTATAAAACTTTTACTTTGACCCAATCAGTTTCAAAACAGAACAAATCTTGGATAACCTTTGTTTACAGATACATGACTGTACTCGTAGTTCTTGTAAAAACAAATACAAAATATTTGGACGTTTTTGCTATATTTCAAAACCATAAAACTCATATATAATACGTAATACACTTCCTTACATAAAACCAGGATCTTTACTTTCATTTCCAAGCCTAAATTTATCACATCTATAAATAAAGTCCTTTTTATTGGCCATTTTCGAAGTGTCTACGTGCGTCCTTTGGCGACCTTCATTCATAATCTCGTTTAAACAAAAAAAATAGAACCATATTTAATGTAAATATTAAAATAATGTAAAAACAATACACACATATACATACATATCAACAAACTTAGACAGTGGTTATCACGCGGGGTTCTCATGACAAACTTACCGATATCAACCGTCCATATTCGTCCTCCTGTTCGCCCCGAGGCCTCCAAAATCTTGAAATCTGTAAAACCTGCCCTGATCAATGTATCAGCTGTTGCGATTCCTGCTATTCCAGCACCGATAATAATAATTTTGGGTTTTTCTTTACCGTTTAGGTCTATCTTTTCTATACCATCTATCACTTTTTCGCCCATGTTTCGTCTGACATGCAAATCAGCCAGCTGACAATGGACGTCAGCGGAATTTTAATGTCAGAATACTCTCTGTCGGTAAATGTAACTTATTTGGAAGAAATATGAATGTAATTCCTCTTCTTTTAAAGAAATCCTTCGTATAAGTTGTTCAAAACTTCATGCAATAGTTTAACACCAACACAGACATCTTCTTGAATGAATCAACTGCCCACCGCGTTGTGTACAGCGCATTACAGTGACGTCAAGAGGTGGGGCTTATGAGGTCAAAGTTCAACCTCCGTTCAAGCACCAGAGTACATTGACGAGGTAAAGTTTAAACGAAAAGGAAAAAAAAATATCGACAATACGGTAAACTATTGTTTATATGTATATTTATAATGTAGAAAAGTAATGCTGTCTTGAGGTTGTTCAGTCATTTGCATTTGGCACCTGCTTGCTGATTGCACGTTAACCCGGCGTCTGTTGACGTCTGCGTGAACATGGATCTAACGTTATGGGGTTTTGATCCGCTTCCACTCCTAATGCAAAATATAAAACGTTTAGTAATATTACAAAATATTTTTAAATTCATCTGCGTGAAAGTAGTAAATTTCAAAGTAGCACATACGAACATACGACATGCAACTTTACGTGCAAAAAAAGGAAAAATGTTCACTGAAAGGCCCCCCTGCTTTTTTGTTGCAGTATATTGACTGTAGTGTAGTCAAATAAGTGTAATGTAGTAGTGTATGAATATTGATACTGAAAGAAGTTGAAACCTACTACCCCCCCCCCCCCCCTTTCAAAAACGATGATACGTCCCTGTGCAGAAATAGTGTAATCATACACAGGATATATTACAACCACTTATAACCTGACACTGAATTCAATTGTATGACATTTTCATGGCCTGAAGTATAAGATTGAAGGTTTTTAAAGTTCTTGTTTAAGAAGTACTATGCTACCAACGCACCAGTCCCTCTTTGACCCACTAGTCCTATATTACATACCAGTCCTAGCCATATATTATATACCAGTCCTAGTCATGTATTACACTAGGGTTAGGGGTTAGAATGAGGGTTACACCAGTCCTAGTCATGTATTACATACCAGTCCTAGTCATGTATTTTACACCAGTCCTAGTCACAGGTACTTGTGGACAGGACTCCCCCCTCGATATTCAACCCCTGGGCTTGTTCGATATTTTTTTCACAAATTACAATTATTACACTTTTTCATCATGTGTACCATAGGAAAAAATCCTTAAAACCCCCCAAAAATTGTTCCACATAAAAATACCCCACTACAGATTATAAGAGAGAAAGGTATGCCACATGATGAATAAGTGTAATAAATATAATTTGTGAAAAAAAATCTCCAACAAGCCCCGGGGTTGAATATTGTGGGGGGGGGGGGGGGGTCCTGTCCACAAGTACCTGTGGTCCTAGTCATGTATTACACTAGGGTTAGGGGTTAGAATTAGGGTTACATCTGTAATAGGACCCTAGAATTAGGGTTACATCAGTCCTAGTCATGTATTACATACCAGTCCTAGCCATGTATTATACACCAGTCCTAGCCATGTATTATACACCAGTCCTAGCCATGTATTATACACCAGTCCTAGTCATGTATTACATTGGGATTAGAATTAGGGTTACACCAGTCCTAGTCAAGTATTACACTGGGATTAGAATTAGGGTTACACCAGTCCTAGTCATGTATTACGGTACATACCGGTCCTACTCATTTTAAAGAAAAGTCTTTTTCACACTCTAGTCAAATATCATACACTAGTCCTATATCACATGTAAGTCATACTCTTAATTAAGTCATACAGTAGTTCTTGTCCTTCATCATAAAAAGTCATAGTCTAATGTCATACTCTAGTTCTAATGCTGTTTCACAAAACAGTCTTAGTCCTATGTTAAACACCTGTCCAAAGCCTATTAAAATCATAAACAAGTTCAAGTCCTATGCCACAGCATTTATTGCCAAAAGTCACAAAAAGTCATAGCTTAAGTCATACACCAGTCATAGTTTCTTGTCATATGTTAGTCCTATATCACACACAAGTCACAGCTCTATTCTGTTGTACACCAGTCTTAGTCCTATGTCAGACAGCAGTTCTTGTCCTATGTCAAAAATGTCATATTTTTATTTCATACTATAGTCCCAACCCTATATCTCTCAACAGTCCTAGTCCTATGTTACAAACAGATGCTACTCTATTGTCACATGCACGCTGTTTTTGTTCTATGTCACAAAAAAAGTCATAGTCATATGTCACACTCCAGACATAGTCTTGTGTCATATTCTAGTCCCAATTCTATGTCACACACCATTTCAATCCGTTGTATACCAGTCCTAGTCCTATATAAGACAACTGTCTTGTGTCATATTCCAGTTCTAACCCTATGTCAAACAACAGTCCAAGACCTATGTCATACACCAATCTCTAGTCATATGTCACACAGTAGTTTTAGTCCTATGTCACAGAAAGTCATCGTCTTATGTCATACACCAGTCATAGGCTTGTGTCATATTATAGTCTAACTTCTGTGTCACATACCATTCCTTGTCCTATGTCATACTCTGTAACTCCAGAGTCCTATGTCAGACAGCAGTCCTTGTCCTTAAGTCTCATACTAATTGAAAACCTAATTCACACACAAGTCCTACTTATACGTCATACATGAGTCCTTGCTCTGTAACACAAACAGGTACTAGTCTTATGTCACATGCGCAGCTGTTATTGTTCTTTGTTACAAAAAGTCATAGATTTATGTCACACACCAATCATAGTCTTGTGTCATATTTGACTCGTAATTCTATATCAAAAACAAGTCAAACTATAATCTTACTTTATGCCATACACTAGTTCTAGTTCTGTGTTGTATGTACCAGTCCTGGTCCTATATCAGAAAGCAGTTCTTGTCCTATGTCACACTAAAAGCCATAATCCTATGTTAGTATGTTACAAACCATTTAAAGTCCCATGTTACAAAAGTCATAGTCATGTGTCATATTTTTGTCCTAATTCTATGTCACACAGCATTTCTTGTCCTGTGTCGCAAACAAATCACAGCATTTTGTCTCATATTAGTCCTAACCCCATGTCACTCACCAATCTTTATCCTATGTCACACACCACTTATTTAGCCCATTTTGACACAGTGAAATATCACACACTAGTACTACTATAATTTGACATACCAGTCCTAGTCATATTCAAGACCTAGTCGCCCGCGTGGCGCAGTGGTTAGAGCGTCTGCTCTAGAGTCGCGAAGTAAGGAGTTGATCCTTACGTCGCGGGTTCGAATCTCACTCTGGGACGTGGAGACCGGTCCTTCGGATGAGACAGTATAAAGCGAGGTCCCGTGTCGCAGTAGGTGCTGGTACGAAAAAGATCCCTCACTGCTCAATGGCCGTAAGTGCCGAGTATAGGACAAAATTTGCAGCTCTCCATCGGCAAGTGGTGGCGTCTCCATATGAGTGAAAAATTCTCGAGAGGGACGTTAAACAACATACAAACAAACAAACAAATCAAGACCTAAAATCCCATTTCTTATTCCGTACTGTATCATCTAGTATTGTCCTATTTACTAGTCTCATCAGAATACTTTATTTTTACTTTCCAGATACCAGTTAAACTTGTTGCATCAGAGGTTGTGCAGACCCTTCGGAATCTCTCATTTGGGATATTTTCCGACGAAGAAATCGGTATGCCAGCCCCCAGGTGTTCACGTTTGACATACATGTGTATATTCTTGTAGGGGGACAGATTGTCAAAACACGGTGTTTAGTTTTGATCATTTTGTCAATCATAGTTTACGTGACTGAACAGAGCTGATTTCTAGCACGTACTCATACCTAAACATTAACGTAGATAGACACTAGATATAGATGCAGGTAGAGGGTTTTTTTCTTTTTTCTTACACAAAGTTTAGACATGCTCCTGAATAATAATATATCATAAATGGAATGTTTCAGGTTAACACTTCAGACTGCATTTGTGATTTAGGCTCCATCTATAAGAAACTAAATCTATTTCAGGTCACTCGCTACAATTTTTTTTCCAGAAATCATGAATGTAAAAAATAATCTGATTCAATATAGCAGACAGGCAGTATCGTTTTTTAAAAATGGGGAGGGGGAGCAAAAAAAAAAAGAATGATAACTTACCTGAAAAATCTTTGACAGGCAAAAAAGGACAAATTATCCGAATTCCAATACCCTATTTCGGGGGTGGGTGGGGGTTAGGTTACAACTTTTTTCCACAAGCATTTTTTTAATAACCACATTACCATGATTTGACTGTACCGCAAAAAAGGGGAGAACAACATTTCAATGAACATTTTCAACAGAAAAAATTATGATTGGAAAAAAGGGGGCACACCCCACACCCCCTCGACACTACGTGTCTGTATTGCTACAAAAGTTTTCTCCTATTAAAGAAATCTCGATAACATCCCATTGACTGAAAAAAAATGTATATATCTATAAGGGTAAAGGTAATTACCGTAAAAAGTGAAAATTTTCAAAATCATGGAAAATCTAGTTTCTCAATATTTTGATATTGCATTATTTACAACCAAAATAAGTCCAGCTAAAGGTACTGTGAGCACATAGCTCACAAATGAGTATAATGGCGAAATCCATTTTTTGCTATGAGAAACGATCAGAACGTAAAATAGAAGGTGACAATGGCACTATGTAATAACTTAAGGATTCTGCGAAAGTGACTAATCTCTAAATTTTATTCAGTGGAGGAGTTGCGGATAAGAGATGGTTACCCCCAGTATTATAGAAAGAATGGCAGTGTCAATGTTTTGGTATTGGAAACCCCAAAAATTTGTCTGATCGAAACATAAAATGGGAGGTGCACAATGGTACTATGTAATAAAGATTCTGTGAAAGTCTCATTAAATTGTATTCAGTATTGGATAAGAGATAGGTACCCCATATTATAGAAAGAATGGCAGTGTCTATGTTTTGCTATGGAAAACCACGAATATCTGTCCGATTGAAACGTAAAATATGAGGTACACAATGGCGCTATGTAATAAAGATTCTGCGAAAGTATCACTAAATTTCATTCAGTTGTATAGTGCTAAATACCCCTGCTTTTTTCAAGCGGGGATATAAAAATATACATGTACATGTAAATCAATCCGTATATCCAAATTTTTTTTGGTAAAAACAAGTGTCCTTGTAAGCTCAAAATCAAATTAATTTCTTGTAGCAAACTCGATCCACATGAACATGAGACTGCGGAGTTTTCTACTTTCAGATACATGCAACAAAATGATGCGAAGCAGTCAAAAATTCATTCCCCCGACACGCAGTAGCGCTCGTCTAGTGAATCCCGCTAGTGAAGAGCCCATTAGAGCTCCTAAATGTCGGCGCTTGTACAGAGACCCAGCAGAGTGCATTTTCAGCAGTACTCCAGTACTCAGTACCGTCACAGAAACAAACTTCCGAAGCCCGGATGCCAACAATAAAAACAATGAAGATGTGCCCTCCAAGGGCGATATTGTCAGAAGAAAAAAGAGGACCTTGTTGGAGAATGTAAACCAAACGATAACAGTAACACCAGAACAGGAAGTAGCCCAAACTTTGTCAGCAAGTCCAATGCTAACTCAGACAAATTCCATTCACAAACAGAAAAACAGAATTTTTGAAAAGAATCACATAACATCAGACCCCATCCCTGCAGTGCAGAAGCAACTAAGAGATGTACCTTCCACATCAAACGACTGTGCAAGTATCTTCAACTTTACCCCAAGCCCTCCTCCCAAGCGCAAAACCATCGCTGCATCTGAGAAGAAGAAGGTGGGATAGTTTTTCTAATAAACATATTACATTTTCCCCCAAGGGTAACAACTCCCGCTACTTCGAAAAGATTTCCCCCCTTAATTTTCAATCGTCAGCTTCCCTTACTTATGTAGCAATATGCCCTTATCACTTGCCTATGAGGTTTATGTCTCTCAGTTGATTCGATACGCAAGAGCATGCTATACTTACGAACAATTTCTAAAATGAGGCAAGCTATTGGCAAACAAGTTGATGAAACAAGAATGTCAACAGTCTCGTTTAAAGTCATCATTTCGCAAGTTCTGTGGTCGATACAATGACCATGTCAGCAAATACAATCCATCATTGAGTCAAATGCTGACCGACGTTTTTCATACCAATTGTTAGGCCATTATTTACACACTGAATTGTTTACGGATTTTCCGTTTTTCCCGATCAGACAAGGAGCACACAGCTGGAGTGACCGGTCGGCAGGGGATGCTCACTCCTCCATGGCACCTGATCCCACCTCTGATGTTTTAGAGGTCCGTGTTTGCTCTGCTCCTGATTTGTATTGTTTGAATGGACTTTTCAGCTTGAATACTGTTCGTTATCTCCATATTTCATTAATTAATAATTATACATTATATTTTGAAATTCCATGAAAAATTATTTATGACCGAATATGGTGATTGTAAATCAAGGTAACACAGTTGGTGAATAAAATAAATAAGTCATTTATCGAGATACATGTACTTTACACCAATCAATGAAAATGAACTATTATGGCATACATTGTTTCACTCCTACTTATTTTGGAAAACAAATTATACAGGTTAGAATCAAAGCCTAGCAATTGTGGACTTTTGCGAAGAAATATGTAGATGTAATGGGTATACACGGCAAATTGATGTGGCCAGTTTGGTAGTAAATGAAAGCAATTTCATTTCTGCCTTTTTGTTCTTCCGGTATGAAGATCTTAATACCACATATATTAAGTATAAGATGTTTGATTTTTCATTCATTCATATCTTGTCCACATTTTGTTATGTGGAAACCTCTCTCTCTCTCTCTCTCTCTGCTCCTGATAAAGATTTGTATGAATGTACAATACAGATGATTCTGATTTAATTAATGCTAAAAGTATCTTTATGTTTTATTGTAATACGAAGGACTAGTGGTGTAAGAAATTCTATCATTATTGACAACAACAGTTAATGTTAGACCTTAAAAATCAAATATTGGTGCACAGAAATATGTATCTTTATGTTGTCTTTAATTGGGGAAATGTTTATAAACTGTAAGAGGAAGATTTTTTGTAATTTGTTTACAGACAGATGAACAGCTAAACAGACGACATTTTCCCGTCGCACTTCGAAATTATATGATTTCCCTATTGACTGCTAACATTTTCTCATCATTTACATTTTACGAATATAGTTTTGCATTGTAGATTAGCTTAGAAGTTCTGTTAACCATATACAAGATGAAGAATCAATTACAAGTTCTACGAGAACGCCGGGAAGATTTAGCAAGTAAGTATCCACGCAAGGTATTATTTTAAAAAAAATGTTTACTAAATAACCTAGGAAAACTTTAGATCTCACTCCATTCCAGCTAAGTATATTGTTCTAGATATATTTTTGTCAATGAATATTGTCTGTCTAGTCTGTAGGGGTTAGTCATCCTTCGCCTCTTGTTGACAATGATTTTAAATTAATGAACCTGCGCAGTTTTAGAATCTACAGGTATGATGTTTGTTCGTCACATTAATTTTCTTTACTAATACGTCGCTAATTTGTGTCCTGTTTTTTCTCGAACAGGGACGAGGAAGAAAACCCAGGAGATATGCGGAGAAGAATGAGGTTTACATGATAAATCGTAAATATTTACATGTAGATATAGAGAATTAATGTGACCTCATTCGAGGGCGAGAGCGTCATGAAACTCGCAACATCTTGTAATACGATAAAGAAACACTCTTACAATATGTTCTGTTTTCACATGCTTATTTCTTACATGCGTAAAAAAAAAGAACAAAAAACGGAGAATGTTTCCCCCAACAAGCTAAGAAGTAAATTAATGACGACTTAAAATACTGTTTTTTTCTGGGAATATTTAATCAATTACCAGGTTGACATACAAAATTCAAAAGACAAATGTTGATAATAAAGATATTTGTATTTTAAAGCATTAACCAAATGTCAGCTATATTTTTGAATAAAAGAAGAAAAAAAACAAATCAATAACTTTGACCCGGTGCTTTTCACAAAAAATCTTACTAATAGGAAATATTGAAAAATCGGTGGAGAGGTGTTTGTTTGTATAATAAAGATATCAGTATTTCACGACAGGTTATTCACTATATACTCTTAATCAACAGAAACATGATTTTTGTCACCTACTATATCTTAAATTCTTAAAAAAAATGTTAGAGAACTTTCCCCCAGATCATGAAGCATCTTAAGCTTAGGTCAAAATATGTACCGGGTATATGGAATTATTTAAAAGTTAAGAAGTCCAAAGTGAAAATGCTTTCCAATTTGCATCATCAATCAGCTGTCGTATGGAAATTAAGAGTTTCATTCAACAAGTTTTAAACATTTTATAGCTGATTAGAATTTTGACTTAAGTCCGAGTCTGTTTCATGATCCCTGGGCCTGGACATTTTTTGTGTTATTCTAAGATATTTTGTGAAAAAGTCCACTGCTTTATCCTTCAACTCCAGTATCTATAAGTGAAGAAAGCAACATTTCTAAATGAGAAAACTTATAATGGAGCAATAGGAAGACGTATAGGAGGTGAATTTACCTATAACTATCAAGATATTTCTGAGAGACACCGAAATTTGTCATGTTCTAAATTTTGAATTTACCGGGTGGGAGTAAATACAAAATTTTCTCCCACCCGGTAAATTCAAAATTTAGAACATGACAAATTGATCTGCTCGTTTACATATCGTTTGTTTTTGTGCTTCGTTTTCATAATATAATTTAGTTTATTATTCGGTCGGTACAAGAGTATATGAAAACTACTGTCGAATATGTCGCATAAAAGTCATTTTTTAAAAATCCTTTATGTTTTATTCATAATCTATAAAACAGCAACCTTTCGAATATCCCGATTAATGAATCCTATGTACTAGATCAGACTGTAGCAGATCTGCCTACTTTCCCACTTACCAATCATTTTTAGGATTTTCGAGCCCTTAAATACACACATGTACACTCAATATGATTTAAATGTCATTTCTCCCGATTTCCGTATTTTCACCATTTTTTGGTTTAAAAAAATCTTGAAGAAAACGACCTTTGAGCTTTTGAAAATTGACATGCAATTTTCAAGCACGTCGAGACAGAGATCGACTAACAAGGTAGTTATGGAATATCTTAGCATCTCTACTTCTTTTGTAATTATCCAAAGTGTCATTATCTTATTCATTTACATTTTCTGCAGGAAAATAGAAACTTTTCTGCATAGAAGTCAAATCTTACGGATAAATTGGTAGAGAACTACTCATACCATTCGTTTGAGGTAGGCTGGACCCACAAATTCAGAAAACATTCAATTAAGGGAATCCTGCATAAGAACATCATGACATTTACAGGGATGTAATGAAACAGTTCAAGTTCAAGGAAGTTGTTATTATTTAATAAACAGATATCTAATATTCAAGTCATTAAATTTTTTTTCTCATAGAATCACATCTTAGTTCTTTATATAAAAAAGAAGCTATTTTTTTTTTATTTCAATAAACGATATTCCTATGGTGACTTAAAATGGAAACCTTACAAAATGCAAATTTCAATAAAACTTGGTACTTAATTTACACTGTACTAAGAGTCATAATTCTGTTAATACATTTAGGATTTTGGTGAATGGTGTCGTGATATTCACTTGAACTACATGTATTTTTCTTTGGTGAAATATCGCACTAATGTCACTGGTTTAAGCCTATTTCTCAGACAGTCATTAACACAACCGATTCTTGTAAGTGATAAAAATCTGTGAAAATCCCCCAAAATGTAGCTTCTCCTAAAGTTTTGATTTGATTTCAATAAAACTTGGTACAAATTAAAAATCAGGATGCGTAATTCTTTGCTTTCAAGTCCAATTTAGTACAAACTATAGTAGAGATACAGTCTAAACAGAGACTTCTGGTTTCATCTGTGGAATGTCAGAGACGATGTAAAGTTGCAAGAGTATTTTTTGAAGATATCAGAGTATAAAAAGCTAGAAAATTGAAAAACTATAATTTGTTTATTTCGATGACCCATACTCATTTTCGTGCCGCATAAAAGTTCTATACACAAGTGGGAAAAAAAGACTTAACTTTGATTAAATGATCTTAAAATATACAGTCGTCTAACTTTCTTTACAGATATAGTGAAAATGCACATTTTTAGGTTAAAGAAGTATCTAGCTTTAGTAGTTTATTACATCGTCGAAAATTATGAATTATAGATATATCAACAGTCTTTACATTTGTTCAAGAGTCTGAAACATTAAAGGTATTTCCTAACCATTTTTTCTGAAGATATGTATTCAAGATCACATCTGTATACATGTAATATACATGTATATATGATATTCATCAGGAAAGGGACTCAAAATGTGTAGATGCCCTTCTCAAAGCAATCTACACCTTTAATTGTAGTAAATATAAATTAAAGTAGGTTACAAAATGTTTGGGATCTACATTCTCAAACTTGATCTTTGACGAGTAACCCTCCTTAATCTTCCTCAAATCGTCCCTACTTATGGTGAAGTATGAAGATGTGAATATGTAGCGAAGAAGTAATCAAATGTTGCTTCTGAGTTTGGTATTATCAAACAATTATGCTGACTTGTGACACTGAACCCCCCCCCCCCACCCCACCCCGCGCACCAAAAAAAAAAAAAAAAAAAAAGACGTAGGTGTATTTCCTTCTACCCACAATAAATATGAAGTCTGGAACTGAAAGGTTGTCATATTTAAATTTTTGATGGCCTAATACTCGTATGCCTATCTGTATTTTACTCACCTTACTTCATACTACTAGTAATATAGTAATCTTTTCGTAACCTTATAAACGTGGCAATTATGCATTTGTAACATTCTACATATAAAATTTTTTAATGCTTAAGGTCGAGCATGAAAAAAAAGTCATTTTATATCCCAGTTGAATATTTGAAATCCCGTGAATCATTATGATCACAATGATAACAGGAAATTATTGGTGTGAAGTAAGACTGATCTGTAATAATGGATTCCTTATAGTCTCATACTCAGAAAATGAAGATGTTCACTATTGACATTGTACATCAGAGCCACTCCAACAAACTCTTTACTGACACTTTCGAATACAACACAATGGCAATCTAAAGTGATTTAAAGCATATAGTATTTTCGGCTTATTGATTTAATAGAAAATTCCTTTAATGGTATACATGTATTCCAAATTTGTATTCCTTGAAGGCTATTAGTAGGAATTACTTTGAAATACATGTATTTTATATCAAATTAATTATTCATATTCGGAGAATTTAGAGTAAGTCCATTTTGAGATTCTTCAACACCAGACAATTGTTGCTTATGGATTTTACCCACCACAGAATCTTTAAATTTACGTGTAATAATAATGTCCGATTCACCCGTGTGTTCCTTAAGTGGAAAAGGTGAGGATAACGAACAGTGATCGATCTCAAAAAAGCTATAAACAATACAATTCTGTGAAGAGGGCATAAAACACGGACCCTTTGAAATTTCCGAGGGAATCAGGTTTCTAGGAGGAGTAAGCATCCCCTGTTGACCGGTCACACCTGCTGTGAGCCCAATGTATTGATCATGGAGATGGAACATTCCGTAGTCAAATTCAGTATATAAAAACAAATGCTTAACAATTGGTATGAAACAAGTCAGTCAAAATACGACCCAAAGATAGATTATATTTGCTAACAAGGTCATTATAACGAACCATAAAATTTACGAAATGCTGACATTAAAAGAGGTTGTTGAAATCCCTGTAACATCAACTTATCTGTAGCCTGCATCGGTTTAAAAATTGATCATACTCTGAACATGCTCTTGAGTATCGAATAAGTTGTGAGATGTAAACACCATATGTAGGTAGTAACGGGATATTGCTACATAAATAAGGAAAGTTAACGATGGAAAAGTTGAAGTCATCTTGTTTGTCATACAATTTACTTGTTAGTTGGCCCTTATGAGATCTTATTAGATTGTTCCAACAATCTGTTGGAATACCCATCGGCGCAATTTGTGCTCCTATATTAAGGGACCTTTTTTGTTTTCTTATAAAACAGGGACCCGTTTTACAGAAAGAACTTACGACTAAGACCAAAATCTTAAGTTGATAGTAAAATCTTGGAAAATTAATGAATCTGTTAAAAATTGCTTGTAGAAAATATCTTCCATATTGTCAATTACAATGGTTATATCCCAGTAAGCTTGAAATAAAAGATACCACAGAGTCTGACACATCTGTTTCATATTTGGATATTTTACTAGAAAAAGACGTTAATGGTAATTTAACAACCAAGCTTTATGATAAACAAGATGATTTTAACTTTACAGTCATCAATTTCCTTACTTATGCAGCAATATACCTTCCAGGGATGGGGTAATCGTAATCGAGTAATCGTAATCGATTGTAATGATTACTTTTTTTCAAGTAATCGACAGTAATCTGTAATCGAAGAGATTTTCGATTACTTGTAATCGTAATTTAATCGATTACAGCTAAAATTATCAATGTAATTATAATTACTTTTTCGATTACTTTCGATTATTTTATACATTAATGGATGTTATTTTGGAGAATTATTTCCAGTCAGTCAAACATAAATATCAAATATAAACCACCTAGTGTAATATTTGGATTTCCTAACTTATATTATCATAAGTTTAATAATGTTCTCAATAAAATTTGCATTATAGGCCTACTGGTCTAGTATTAAATAATTCAGAAGTGTATTTATTAATAAAATATACAGATTTTTCGTGTGCATTTTACATTTGACCCATTGTCCTCTTGCATCATGTCCTTTTTCATATTTCAGATGTTGAAAAACTTTGTCTTGTAATAGAAAATTATAAACAGCAAAAACAGATTTAAGTGCTGTATTAAATATAAATAGTTTGATAAATAAACTACTCAAAAAAAAGATGGAAATACTTATTCATATCTGAAAATGTTTAAACAACTTCAAACTTGTGTTTTAGTAA